CAAGTTGAAGAAATATTTATTTGGGAATAAAACGAAAGAAATCGTCACGCTCGATTGCGCCAATTTCGCTGTGATTGAGCAAGATGGCGCTATCTTGCCCGCTTGGGATTACGCGCTGTGTTCCGCAAGAAAAATTCTCGAAAGCCATATTTTGACGTCAAGCTTATACCAAATAGAAAACATGTACCGTGTCTCTATCGAGTTTAGGTGTAAATCTAATGGCGTCCTATCACGAACGCCGTTCACTGTCTATTCTGTTGTAGAAGTGCGCTTAAACAGTGTGCGGTTGTTATCAAAGTAACGGCTAATTCTTTGTGTTTTCGAGGTGTCTGTGAAGAGGATTTAGATACAGTTTTGAACGACTAGTAGATTTATACTAAAACATTTAGATTATTCGTTCTAGAGTTCTATGCGTGATAGTTGACTCGGGCTGCACCTTCGTCAACTATCGCGCGATAGAAATATCGAGGTCATAATCTAATCGTTTAACAGAAACATGATTTTAAACCAATCAGCGCGCGTATTTTCTTTGGGCTATTTTCTAAATATAGATATCTTCATATTTTGTTTCAGGACGTATACGAAGTCGGTAGAAATAAGAAGAAAAAGCTTTGGTAAGTGTGTAACATTGGATATTAAATGCAACCATCTTTAAACTGTTTGGAAAAAGGCATATAGGAAAATAATTATACTTTTGCGATCTCTATTTTTCCCTCGACGAGGAAGAGCGATACCGGAAATTGAAGCCCCTTTCGAATAGACTAAGAGTCTGGTCTAAAAAAGGTATCCGTTTTTAATGAGGGCTAAACATTCTCATATTTTTGTCTGACGTAAGGGTTTTAGAAGCGCGTCCGCGTAATTTTTGGAGAGTACTCCTACCTCTCTGGCGATGTTACGACTGACAAAGGAGAATGGACAGGGCTTATTTTTGAATTTCATTCAACAATAAAGTCCAAGCAATTGATCTCGCCTAAAGTCGATTTGCTTATGAGATAAGTAGTTAGAAATATAATCAGGTTCGTGTGGACTAAAAACAGTCTGAGAAGCGGAAAGTACATTTGGGTTCTCGCGAAGTGAAATCGACAGTTTTCTCCGTTTTTGTGACGTTTAAATGATGTTTTTGTTGACAAAGGATCAATTAATTCAGTAATGACTAACGACACTAACCTAGTTCAATCTATACAATGATTCTAAGACCGATGAGAGCAAAGTTGGGGATTCTGAAGGATCCACACCAAGTATCAAGTCTGCACGTGACTTCAGCTTAGACAGGTACAAATGATGATCCTAGCCGGGGAAGGGAAGGGAGGTTCAATGCTGAATAAAATAGTTGCAGTAGTAGGAATGAACTTAGTATGACTTATTTGTTCAGTTTCCGTAGAATTAAAAGGAGATCCCTGCATGTTATCCTAATTAACCTTCTATCATTTTTATTTTGCTAAATTCTAAAAAAGGAGTGCAATACTATACAATAGGCTAATTTTCTCCTTTTTTGCAGAACCAATACAAAGGCTGATCATGACAACAACAAAGTAGAGGACGGTACAGGATCTATACCATGTCACAATTTGGGAAAACCTGTGCACGATGTCAACAGGTATTGATGATGGGTCTGGGGAAAGCTCCCCCACCCTCCGTTCGTCCCAAGGTCAAACTCAGCCCTGTTCCCTCGCCAAAATGTATTTACCTTCGCGCAGAATTGTTTCCTCTCAAAACCCTTTTAGCAGGTTAGGGGGGGAGTGGAACCCTTTCAGTCAGTGGTGGGAGCGCAAATCGGGCTTCACAAATTGGAACTCCAATGCTGCAGTTCTAGAACGGCTTTTGAAATATAAAGTTCAAATGTTTGATTACCTTAGCGATAAATTAATACTAACACTAAGTATATTGAAAATAGACACTAATTCACCTCAACTATTTTAAGTTATTCCCCCAAGATTGACGAGAACGAAGTTCAGAATGCTTCAGGATCCGCTCTGACTCATAGAAAGAGAAAAGCTCGTGACGCCAGCTTAAACAGGTAAGAATGATTGCTTTTGCTTTAAGCGGAGGTACAACATTGAAAACTCTAAGCTCATACATTGTTCTTTCAAAAAGCGGGACCTTCCGTCCTGTCCAACTGTCCTTCGACGCTTCCTCGGCCCTCATTATCCATGTAAAAAGACCTATATTCAAATTTTGCTCTAATTGATTAATTAGGAGAAAATAATGAAGGTGGCTGACACTAATTGAGACTCGTTGCAATTAATTTTTAAGGGACGACCTAGCAACTAGAGAAAACAAATTTGCGGATGTGATGGGATCAAGAAACAAAGATGATGGCAGTTTAGACAGGTCGGTAGAAATACGAGTGTATCTGAATATCCTTACATAAACAAAGGTGTTCACTTTCTCCGTTACAACAGAAATTATAAAGTGTGTTATTTTTTGATGTGAAGAAATTGAGTTAGTACTCATTGTTTAAGAAGAAAACACTGCTTTTATAATTGCTTCTCTCATGCAGAAGCCGCTTTGAAGATATTGAAGATGTCGCTGATCTTACTCATTGCCTGAGTTCTGCATCAGCGCACCAAAGTATTTCCTCGCCAGAATGTTATGTTATCTCATGAACTTAATAATTTAATTGCCTTTTTCCTTATGTTATATATTTAAAAGAAACTCCCAGATGCAGTTTATTTGTTGACTTCCGGCCTCTGATGAACAAGGGAGTGGATACCACCCACCAATCAGGCTCAATCTCAGGCTTAAAAAGAGTATTTATCCTAAGATGCTGAAACTTTCCATAGCTTTATTCATTCATCGCGTAAATTAATATGGCAACTCTGTATTCATGATTTTACATGTAAGACATTGCAAGGCAACGCATAATTACATGTAGGTTAGGCCAGATATCTACTTTAATTTTTGATGTATTTGTTTATATTTTTCCAGTTATTTTAATTTGATTTTAGTTTGTTGAAAAAA